CCCCACTGTCCTCCACCCCACACCCCATCCCCACTGTCCACCCCACACCCCATCCCCACTGTCCTCCACCCCACATACCATCCACACTGTCCTCATGGTGCTGGTTGAAGTTCTCGTAGGAGTCCCAGCGTACAGCAGGCTCTGTTGTGTTATAATCCACAGAGACAGAGGGATCATTCCGTGGGGTGTTGCCTGTAGAAAGCTGCCTGAGTACTGAAGATCAGGGGCCCCTCAATACCCTCAGCACTCTACCCCTCCAGCTCCCACTTACCTTTGATCTTCTCAGGACTTGAGGAGAAGACAAACTCCACTGAGGCTTGGAAGGGGAACCGCTCATCTGTGGAGGAGGTGGTGGCGGTGAGGAGCCAGGCCCTGCTGATACCCCGTCTCCGCCCACCTGCCACTTCATAAGCCTCTGACTCACCGGCCCAGGCCTCATCCAGCTGGTCCTTGGGGAAGGCAAGCCGTGACCCATGGATAGTACACGTGTGGAACTGAACTCGGAACACAAGTGTTCGGTCTGTCCCCTGGCCACCCTTGTGATAGCAGGTTACCTGAAGGAGGGCAGGAGCCTGGGGTCAGGCCTTCATATCCATTTTGCCTTATTTGTGCCTTTACCCCAAGGGCTGCCAGTTGACAGCTTCTGCCATGCCCTAGTTTCAGGGTGAACTCTCCTTCGGGATACCAGGTGGAGGATTTCCTTGGGACCCTCCAGTCCTGCTCGAACTGATGCCTGGTCAGTTGACTATATATGGCTAGAAGCCCCTACTCCAGTACAGTCCCCAGCCTCAGGATCCTCCTCACCATGACATCGCCTTTGAGGAGGAGAGCTGGCTCTAGGCTGATGCAAAGTTGCTGGGGTCCTGGGCCTGCAATGTGACTTTGGGTAGAGAGAAGGCAGAACAGTCAGAAGCATGCAGGGAGGGCACAGAGGTGGTATGTTAGTCAGAGAGTACTTCTACCTCCCTGGCTGGAGCCAGAAGGCGGAGCCTGGGGAGGCTGGGGACAGACAGAGGGACACACATGGCAGGTGTCAGGGCCAGGGAACAGAGCACTCACTATACTCCAGATGTGTAGACCAGCTGCATAGACTGGTAGATCTTGAGGAAAGGCTGGAAGCCTGGAGGGGTAGAGGAAGACATGTGGGGTGAAGCGGGGTGGGAAACGGCTGTTCCTGTGGAACACAGCCCAGGTGGACTCACCTGTGTTGGGCTCAAAGGCTGGCAGCATGGGTACAAACACATAGTGCAGGAAGAGCGGGCTGCTGTTCATCCCGATGGAGCCAGACAGCAGCCCACTGAAGTAGCTGACATAGCTGGTGGGAGAGTGCCAAGGAAAGCATCAGCGTCTTCCTCTAGAGGGCGCCTCACACTAACTCAGCAGTGCAGACCTTCTACCAACCCTTGGGAGACCGGAAAGCCTTTCTCACAAGCCTCTGCTGTACTTTCTTCACGGACCACATCTTCAGCTAGAATGATCTAATCTGTTTGCGCATGGCTTCTTGTCTTCCACTCCAGTGGAATGAATGCCCGAGAGCCTAACCCTGTTTGTGCTGAGTCCCCAGAACTTGGGACAGTGCCTGGATCTTTTGCATTGTGGGAGTCAGGTGTGCTGCCTGAGCAAGAGGATCATCCCTTCCCCCACTGGGCTGCTCACCGGCGCTGGGAGGGCTGCAGTTCCGTGGCCACCTTGTCCTCGCAGAATTTTCTCATGGTGAGAGTTGCCAGTGCCTGGTCTGCCCTGGGGAGAACAGGGCAGTTGGGGGTGCTTATGGATCAGTCTCATTTTGGCCTTCCATGCCTAAGCCCCAGGAAAGGAGGAACCATGAGATCTTCTCAGTGTAGAGCAGGCCCCCAGTGGTAAAGAAAGCTAGAAGCCCTATAGTACAGATTCCCAGTTGTGGGGCCTCAGACAACTGTCCCCTGAATTTGACTTTCCTCACCTGTAAAACAGGGCAGTTAGACAATCTGATGGGCTGAGATGTGTCCCTCCCCCAGAGAAATGGACCTCAAATGTCCCTCTGCAGATGTGGTTAGATAGGCTAAGATGGGATCATGCAGGAGCAAGGTGGGATTGGCCCTTAGAAGAGGAAGAACAGAAACAGACGCACAGAGAGAACACCACGTGATGATGAAGGCAGAGGTTGGAGTGATGCCGCTGCAAGCCAAGAACTGCCAAGAAGTGCCAGCCACCACCAGCAGCTGGAAAGAGGCACGAAAGGAGTCTGCCTAGGGTCACAGAGAGAGCAAGGCCCCACTGATACCTTGACTTTGAATTTTAGCATCTTAGAACTGTGAGACAATTGAGTTATCTTAGCCAGCTAATGGCATTTTGTTGACAGCCCAACTCATCTGTGGAGAGTGCTGGGCACCACGTGGAGATAGGTGGTACCACACCAAGTTTACAGTATAGGACTCTGACTACAGGCTCAGACGAGGAAGGGCCCGGGGCAGGGCAACTCACCCTGCCGAGATCTTGCTGTAGTGCATATAGGCAGAGACGATGACCCCTAGCTTGCCCTTGCTCCCCTGGGAGGTAAAGAAATGGTTGTGGGGCCTGCGTGGTCTAGGCTGAGGTAGCCTCAGCTCTATGACCCCGAAGTCCCAGCCCACCTTGCAGTACAACACGACCACGTGCTGGGGGTCAGCACTGAGCCACGTCTCCATGGCCTTGCAGATGGAACACAGTTTGTCCAGAGGCGGGGCATGCAGCTCAGGCCAGCCAAAGTCCTGCACCTGGGAAAGTACAGGGGGGACAACTGTGTGTGAGGGGGAGCAGGAACAAGGAGGTGAGGGGCCATGGATGTAAAATAGCCCTGGGGCGAGGTGGGGCTTGCTAGCAGTCCACAGTAGCAGGCCGCGGTTTTCAGCCAATCTGTACCACGTTTTCAGGTATCTTAAATAGTATGTCATATGGGAGAGTGCTTAAGAGTGCAGAAGAGGGAGTGGGACTGAGGTCCGTATGTAAAATGAAAAGTAAATCGTTTTTAATTAAAAAAAAGAAGAGTAAAGTGGATATCAACTGCTACTAATATCAAGGAGGCAGAGTTTTCTCCCACGGTTGGCTCAGCTTAAAGGTCAGACAGACCCTCCTACCTTAGGGTTCAGGCGGGTCAGGTCATGTCGCTTCTCTGAAAGGTTGAAGAGCTGAAATAAAGAGAAGAGTTAGATGAAGGCAACCTCGGACAGAGGGGCTGGAGGTGGACCCTCAATGAGAATCTGCCTCTAAAGTAAGATTGCAGTCCTCTGGAGCTGGATTCTATGCGAGCTGCTGCTTGCCCAACTGAACTCAGGCCCCGCCCCGGCCTCGCACACCAACACCGCCCCCTGCCAGCCCCAACTCAGGGACTGCTGGCAAACAGTAGCCTTGCCCATTTGGACTTCCCAGCCCTCTCATTGGTTGAATCAGGTCGACCCGCTCCTCACCAGGTACTTGTCCCGGTGCTTAGACTGCAGCACGTGGGCCAGCTCGCGCAGGTGGGCCCGGTGTCGCTGCTCATCCGGCCGTGCGGGGAAAGCCGCAGCCAATATCCGCTCGGTCACATAGGTGAGGTCCAAGTCCCAGCGACGCTCCATGAGCGGATCCAGGCTGAAGCTCCTGGCAGAAGTCGCAAAGCTGATTTAGGGAACAGAGGCCAGGCGCCCCACGGGGCTAGGATGATGAAAAGGGTAATGGGGAACGCTGGGAGGCCTGCTAGATCCTGAGGGGGCGTGGTCCGGAGGAGGAGCACTGTCCTGGGGCGTTTTATTGGGGGGTCACTGTCATGAGCTGAGTGGGGGTCCGGTGGAAAGTGCCCACGTGGGCTTGCCGGGCACCCTCACTCACCTGGGTAGGGTGCTGCGTTGCTTTGAGTGGTTCAGGGACTTGGTGGACCCCTAGTGGACGAGAAACCTTATGCAGACAGCTCTTTGGATGCATCTCTTCTAAGCTCCCCAGTCCAAAGTTCCACAAGCCGTGGTCTCCCAAAAGCTACCCACGCGCCCCTTCCCGCCCAGGCCCTAGCATCCCTTACCAGGTGTTCTATGCGCCGGACTGGGGCAGTGTTTCTCCGCTAGAGGAGGAGGTAGGGGAGGAAATGGGAGTGGTTAGGCTAGGGGCAATGACTAGTGTGGACCTGGAGTGGGGGGTGGGAGGACATGTCTGTGTCTATTCCCTGGGAGTGGGAGGGTCTCCAGCCCCCCCCCCCCCAGTAGGCCCTAGAAGACAATAACAGTGAAGAGCTAGAACAGTCAATACCCACAGTGCTCAGTTTTAGGTAACTTCCTGGGGACCCTCTGAGACCACTAGACCTCTGAACATTAGTCAAGTTCCTGTCTTCCCTGCCCCATCCTAGAGCACACTCACCAGCTCCGCAGGGGGCAAGGCCTGACAGGATGAAGTCACCTGGAAGGAGCCGGGAGTAAGGGACTGAGCTGATGAAATGGGGTGCTCGGCCTCAGCAGCAAGGTGGAGGGGCTGTCAACTGCTGAGCACAGGCTCCAGTTGAGGTTCCTCTATTTAAGGGAGCCTTGCTTCTGGCCTCCTGGTCCCCCACCTCTCAGGCCCCCTGCTTGTTGCTCTTGGCTTTCAGCCCCCTGCCCAAACAGACCCCCATTCATCCAGCTGCAGGACAGGAGTTATATATAGAGGCAGGCAGGCAGGCAATGGCCAGGGGTGGACACTAGCCTCTTTCACCGTTGAGACCCCACCCATGGGGACATAGCTCCCCCAAGCTAGCTTGAGGCCCTGGGACTACCCCCCTGCACTGGAGGAGAACCAGGAATGTTCCTCAGAGATGGGGCTGCCTTAGGTTCTCAGTGGACAGTGGGTACCATCTTCCAGCACCCAGGGTAAGATCAACTCAGGCATCCTGAGGACCCTTCCCAGAGGGAAAGCACAGCCTATTCTGTGGCCTGGTCTCTGAAATCCTGCTCCCTCTCTGTCCACCCCGCCCTTCCTCCTCCTCCTTCTCCGCCCCCCCCCCCCCCCCCCCCCCTCCCCAGCCCCCCCCCCCCAACCAGCTGCAGCCTGGGCACAGGGGATTGGGAAACGCTGTCTGTGTGCCTGTGCGCGCGTGTGCTTTCTCGCCGTCCGGAGTAGGGTGGTTCTTAAAGGGCCCAGCACAACACCCCTGCCACCCAGGAGGGGTCTCTAGGAATGACCAGCATGCCAGCGTGGNCTGGTCTCTGAAATCCTGCTCCCTCTCTGTCCACCCCGCCCTTCCTCCTCCTCCTTCTCCCCCCCCCCCCCCCCCCCCCCCCCCCCCCCCCCCCCCCCCCCCAACCAGCTGCAGCCTGGGCACAGCACCAAGACAAACGCTGTCTCACTGTCCACCCTCCTGAGCCAACCCTCCAGGGGTGGAGTAGGGTGGTTCTTAAAGGGCCCAGCACAACACCCCTGCCACCCAGGAGGGGTCTCTAGGAATGACCAGCATGCCAGCGTGGCTGAAGAAGCCTGTCTGGGCATTGGAAAGGCTCCATCCCCGGCAGCTAGGCCCAGGCACCCACCTTTGCTTCGCATTTTCTGTGTGTGGCCACCTTGCAGACTAGAGAGGAAAGGGAGGAAAAGGTTAGTAGGGACTTATGGGAGCAGTGAAGTGGCCATCCTCCACTTCCCCAGGCCCTAAAAGCCAACCCTGGGACTGAACACTGGATTGCGGGAGTTGTGAGCAGGACAGGGTAACAGCAGGTTCTGCTCCTGAGTCAGGGGAAAGGGCCGGAGGTTCTGATCTAGGATGGAGGTGAGGAGGAAGGGAAGCCCCTATCCCAGGTGGGGATGGGAAGGAAGCAGTCAGATCTCCTAGGCTCTGCGGATGTGAGCGAGCCAGGGCATTTGTTTCTGTTCTGTGAGTCTGCCTGCTCGGCAGCACAGTGGCGCATGGAGCGGAGGGCTCAGAGTAGGCCCGAACAGCACCTCACCTCGGCAGGAGACACCTGTCCCGTCGATGGTGACTTTACACACCGCACACACTGGCGCTTTCTTCCGGAAAACCTTCTCCCTGAAGCTGTGTGGTTCTGCTTTCCTAGGCTGCGGGCGGGATGGCAGACAAACAGAGGTGTGAGTTCCTAGTGGGCCCATCTCCAGGCTGGGCAGGAGCCTTGTAGGACAGCGCCGCTTCCCTCTGAACTCCAAGGCACACTTGGCCACAGCTGTTTCAGGGCAGTCATGGGGCCTGTCCTCTACAGGGCTTGGAATGTGACCCCTTGCGTCACCTTGGCTAGGTCAACTCCTCCCTAAGAGATCACTTAGGCCCCTCACGTGGCCCTGCTATGTGCTGTCCTTGTCCTTGCCACTTTCCGAATCTCGGCAGAGCAGGGGTCTGACTCTTGCTATCTTACCCTCCCCTGATGAGGCCTGGCTACTGAGAGCTGACGGCCCAGACACATATGCACGTTGTCACACAACACCCAGACTGGCTTCGGCCAGTCCTGAGCCCCTGGCTCTCAATGTCCCCACGTCGCAGGCAGCTGACATGCCCCTCCCCCACGGTCAGAACAACAAGTTTAATATTCTTTGTGTACTGAGGCTGCAGGCAGCAGCTGGAAGGAGGACGCAGTGGGCGGCGCAGCAGCTGCCCGCTGCCTCTGTAGTGCCCTTCCCGTGCGGAGTTGTGAGGCCAGCAGCTGAGCTCCCTCCACTTGCCCAGGTCTACTTCAGGCCCTCTCATCCCAATCCACCCCTCCCAGCCCGTGTCTGTGGACCATCCGCCATACGCATTCGCAGTCTCTGTATTCAAACTCCTGTTCCCTCCTCTCCCACCACAGTGGTGACACCTTCAAAAGGCAAGGGGGAGTACAACGACAGCCCCAGTTTTGGTCTCCTGACTGTCCCAGAACTCCTGGACTGGAGGTGTGACCCTCTAGGCACTTGGACACACTTGTTGATAGCATCATGTGCAGATGACGTCAGTGGAAGGCAACCTCCCAGTTAGAGTGCCTGGAGACCTGGCTTCCTCCCTACCTTTCATTCCCTTCTTCCCATCCCTTTTCTCTCAAGCTTCCCTGGGAGGTCAGGGCTTAAGCTCTTAACTGAACCCCCAGGGCTAATTCAAACTTAAACCAGGAAATACACAGAGACGTCAAAACAGGCCAGAGGAATGAGGGGAATACTAAGGCAGGGTAAGGAGCAGAAGAGGCTGAAACTAGCAAGAGGGTCTGGCCTGAATCCTGACCGTCCCCCCCTACCTCTACCCCGCCCCCCCCCCGCCCCACCTTTGCCCTGCTGGTGGGGCACTCCTACCCTGCTGGTGGCCCGGCTGCTGTCCCTCCTCCCCAGGACTCTGAGCAACCTTTCCACAGGGCCGCTGGACTTCATGGTGGCTGGCTGGCTGGGCTCTTGGCTGCAAGGCCCGAACAATGCTGGGGCCTGGCCTGGGGCTTCCTGGAAGCAGCCTGGCTCAGTCAGCCTCTTCCCTTGGGTGGAGGGGAGGCTGTCTAGCTGCTGTGTGGAGAAGCCTGGCCCTGGAAGTGGAGGGAAGTGCAGGCGGGAAGGGGGCAGGTCGCTGCTCCAGGAAGTGGGGTGGGGGAGGATGTGGGGGAGGCCAGGAGATCAGATTCCCAGGATCTACCCTGCTGGGAGTGTCAGCCCAAGATCTTTGGCTCTCCCCATCTCCTCTGGAGCTGCCTCTCACCCAGAGGGCCACCCTGTGTAGGGGTCTGTGGTCCTGAGATCCAGCCCCAGAATCAGCCAGTGAGGCGGGGTGGGAATTCAGGTCTCAGGGCAGTCCTGGAAGGCCAGAGAACACTGTGTCCCTAGCCAGTCTCTAGCCTGGACTCATATGCTCCCTTGGGACTTCCTGTGGGAAGGGAGTGGAGCTGGGAACTAGTACCCATGGCAGCCCAGGACTCAGAATCCTCAGGGTGAAAGAAAGGAATGAGGGCCAACTTTCTTGAAGTTAGATGGGAAAGGATCATGCTGGGCCCTCCTCAAGGCCAAGTTCCGGCCAGAAAGCCCAGCTGTCCACACTAGTGGTCCATCTTGCAACCCAAAGCACTGGGAAGGCTCCACCTGAAGACCCCAGCTACTGTGGTCCAGTTAAACCACAGTTCTGGCTATGTGCCCTGCACCCAGCACCCCACGCAATCCCCCAAACCTGAGCACTACCTTCATGGCTCTTCTGGGCCTGGCTCTCCTTCCTCTGTGGCTGTCACTGGGCCTGAAGATTGGACAGGAGGCCCCCTCCCAACACATACTCCACCCCCTCTAGGGCCTCCTGCTTCCCTCCTGGGAATTGGGCCAACTTCCTGTCCCTGGAGTCAAGGGAAGGAGGTGGTTGGGGCCTTGGAAAGGTTGGAACACTCTTCCTTAAACAAGGGTCAATGGCCTGGGGGTTCTCAGCCCAAGCCTGGGACAGCAGCCTTTGGAATGCTGTAGCTGTCACTTGAAAGAATGTCCAACCTTGTCATCCTCATTTGCATGGTATTTACTGGACGTCCCAGTGCAACTCCTCCAACTCTAGCTACTCCCTGGGACACCTCAGTCTGAGGTCTCTTTCTGTATGCCCCAGGTAGAAGGTGGCACCTGAGTGGCAAGGTGTGGGCCCCCATCCTGTAACTGGAGAGGTCCACCGGCTCTGTGATCCCTACCCGAGTGCTGGCTGTGTCCCAGGACATTCCAGGCTGACGGCCAGGTGGGCAGCACCGGTCCTGCTGGGGTAGATGGGTCACTGTAGTGCCTGGGTGAGTGTGGCCTCTCCCATCCAGTATTTTCCCTCTGTACCAATAACGCATAGTCCTCCTTCTGCTGCCTCCTCTGGCAAAGGTCCCCAAATATCCTCTGGCCTCATTGATCTTTCACTGCCCACCCTGACTAGAAAAGTGTCCAGTCGGTGACTGCGATGGGGACTGTGGCCTAAGCAATGTGTTGGCTGGTCAAGAGCCCCACAGCTCTAAGAGTGTCCCCATGGGGAGTAGAGTACTTCTGGAAGGAGACAGGGAAGGCTGAGCTGGCATCACCAGATCCTGCGGATCCTCACTTCCCACCTCCTGCTTGGAATATTCCATATCTGTTTTTGCTTCTCTTCAGCCAGGCCCCCTTCTTACTCTGAAGCCTTGGGTTTGTTTGGAGAAACCCCTCCACCCATCCCCACACCCCTCCTTCCTGGAAATAGCTGTGGTTGGATGAGAAGCTGGGAGCCGGGCCACAGAGGAGTGAGGCCCAGGAAAGAAGGGAGGGGAATGGAGGTAGGATTCAGGGGTGTATCCGAAGGGACCTAGGGGGTGTTTAGGCAGGACAGAAGTGGAAGACGGCTTATAGGAGGGATCGGCTTCATCTGTGCCTGCATTGTGCCTCAGTGTCCCAGATAGGGCACAGGAGAACACGCTTGGATGCCCTCTGCCAGGCCAGGGCCGAAACACAGCTGCCAGCTGCCGCGGGCATCTTGTGTTCAAAGTGCGCTTGTCTTTGGAACTGGGGATGCACTCAGAGACTGGCCTGACGCTGCAGCAGTGCGCAGTGAGGCGTGGCGTCCTGAACTAGGACCACAGCCGTGCCCCGCCCCCTCGTCACCTCTAAGATCTCTAACTGCCCCCTAGCTCCTTGCGACCAGGGCGGTGCTGGCCGCAGTCCCAGCCTCGGGCTCCCGCCGCGCCCGGTGTTCCGGGACCCCTGGCGCCCCCCGCGCCCCCTGGCGCCCGCCCCTGGCTCGGACCGCGCGCTGTGACGCAGAGGGCCGCCGCCCGCGTTCCCGCTCGGCGTGGCGCGGCCACTCACCTGTGGGGGGCGCCCGGAGGGCCGGGGGCGCGGCGGTCCGGGGCAGCAGCAGGGGGCGCCCCCGGGCCAGCCCATCCCGGCCAGCCGCGCCGCAACACGCGGAGGCGGCGACGGCGGCGGCGGCGGCGGGACGGGCACTTAGCGGGCTCCCTCCCTCCGCGCCCTGCGCCCGCCGCCTCCTCCCGCCCTCCGGCTCCCTCCTTCTTCCCGGGCTCCAATCGCCACCTTCCACCCGCTCCCCGCCCGCGCCGCCTCCTTTCTCCCTCCTCTCCTCCCACTGCCCTTCCCGCGAACGGCTCAGCGCGCCGAGGCAGGCTTCAGCAGAGACTCGCAGACGGAGCTGGCAGCCAGAGCCGGGGAGGGATTCACTTGGGAAGACAGTCCTGGGAAGTCTCAGACCGAGAGGCTGCAGAGGGACACGGGCGGAGAGAAACGCGTGATCTGCACGGACTCCCAAAAGATCCAGACGGGTACAGAGGACAGCTGTGAGTCCTTGGCTTCTCGGAGTCGAAGGCTCCCGCCTAGTCTGAACCAGGCCTGACCTGGAGTGGGCGCCGGACTTAGACACCTGTTACTGGTGTCCCAGGTCTTAAGACACCTTCCTAATGCTGTGCCCCACTGGAGCTTTCTGTGTCATCTCTTCTCCCAAAGGACTCAGAGCTGAGGACCCAGAGAAGGGAGCGCAAAACTCCCGCCAATCAACGGCTTTAGTCATCGCCCTGGTGTTCTTGGGTCTTGCCAATGGAAGTTCTTTTGATGGTGTCATTTCATTCCCTTCTTTTAATTCTGATATTGGATAGGAACGTCTGGAATTAAACTACTAATGGGCCATGATGCTAGTTTGAGTTGTGACACTCCGGAGGGGAAAGTGGAGGGGAGGGATGTGGTCTTTGAACCTATTGCCTTTCCTGTGTTCCCAGCATTCTTTAACAGATCCTAAACAATTTTGCTGCTACCCTCCCCACTGCAATTTGCGTACTGGAAGTTGGTGGAGCCAACTCAGGATCTCCACGCTGAGAAGTGGGAAGTGCTTAGAGTTCAAGGCCAGCGTAGGTGCCCGAAGCAACCCAGCACTGGCCGCTCAAGCCCTCTGGGTCTGCCTGCCTGTCTGCCCCATCTCAGCAGTTTTGTGCTCATCCTGTCTCTGGCAAAGGCTGGGTTGGCGGTCTGGATCTGACTACTGGGGAATGAACACCTGATTCTAACCTGGCAGCTGGGAAGAAGCTGGGCACTGGACAGCAGGAGACTAGAAGAGATGGAGATGCTGGGGAGGGAGAGGCTGCACTGGCTGTGGGGTGAGAGCTGCCTTGGAAGACAGAACAGGGATTGGAGGCTCATGGGAAAGGACAAGGATGAAGGTCATCTGTGGCAAGATTAGATGTAATTTTGTGGAATATGAAAACATATTTACAGCCAGTTTTTAACATCCAGACCTTTCCAGATTTCCAGAATGTCCAAGGCTTTGACTGGAACTTGCTCTGTACACCAAGCTGACCTCGAACTCTGAGATTCACCTGACTGGGATCTCCAGTGCTGGGATCAAGGGCATGGACTGAGGGCTGGACAAAGGTTTTAATCTCTAAAACTCAGCAATGAGTGAGCACGCCTGATTGGCTCCTAAAGGTGGGTGGGACTAGAACTTCACACCAGGCTGGTATACTACCTACCCTGCCTAAGCAGCCACTAAGAGGAACTTAGATGGATAGCTGGACCCTCAGCTCAAGCTTGACCACTACTCTCCAGGTAGCAACCGAGGGGAAGGAATCTAAAGCAGGATACTTGGTGGGGACAGGATTAAAGCGAGTGGCTTGGGGAGGCAGCCATTGTGATTGCCATCTGAGAGCAGCAGGGGAGGAGAGCCGGGCCACTGCTGCTGTTCTTACCCTGAGTATACAGAAAGAGGAAGAACCCCATTCTGCAGCCTGAGATCTTATGCCCATCAATTTCAGTCTTGAGGAGTGTGGGGCTGTCCTGGGCTCTAGGAACCAGGAAGAACAGTGTGGCACAAGGGGCAGAGCCAGCTCCAGAGGCAGACAGCACTGTCCAACCAGGGGTCGCTGCAGGTGGGTGGGACCTTCACTTGTAGCCCTGGGGTTGCTGAGAAACAGCTTATCAGATGTTGCTTCCCAGAAGCAGATGTGAAGCAAGTACTCTCAGGAACTGCTGGAGCACTTGAGTGCCTTGGATTCCAGAGCACATGGCCCAGTTCTGATAGAAAACAAGCCTATGGGGTCTGGAGTGTACCCTGCCTAAAACTGAGTCTGTCAAGTAAACATCTGGTTTGTGCTCTGCCAGTTGGCATGGGATGACAGGCAGTAAAAACTGGTTAGCCCTGGCTGCTCCCAGTTGGATGCTATAAGGTCTGCTGTGACTACCTTTTGGGGTGAAGCCTGGGAAACCCTCTATCTAGCCACACTGAAACTCTCACAGCACAGCTACTCATGGATCCCTATCAAACTCAGTTTAGAAACGGGTTAGGCAATGGTGGCACCACGCCTTTAACCCCAGCACTCAGGAGGCCGAGACAGGCACATCTCTGAGTTCTGGTCTACAGCGTGTTCCAGGACAGGCTCCAAAGCTACAGAGAAACCTGTTTTAAAAAACCAGAAAGGAGGGGCTGGAGAGATGGCTCAGTGGTTAAGAGCATTGCCTGCTCTTCCAAAGGTTCAATTCCCAGCAACCACATGGTGGCTTACAACCATCTGGAATGAGGTCTGGTGCCCTCTTCTGGCCTGCAGACATACAGACAGAATATTGTATACATAATAAATAAAAAACCAGAAAGGAAAAACAAAAACAGGTGGTGGCGGCACATACCTTTAGTCCTAGCACTTGAAAGGCAGAGGCAGGAGCTACAGGAGTTTGAGGCCAGCCAGCCTGATCTGCAAAGCAAGCTCCAGGACAGCCAAGGCTGCCACAAAATGGCCTCAGAAACAAAAACAACAAAACCACCAAAGGCAACTGAACTAGAAAAGCAGCTGCCTTTAATGGCCACCAGCCAGTGCTGCATCATCTCGAAGTCTCTCAAATGTGCTTCTTGTGACTCCAGAGGCTCTGTCTCTGTCCTTTTCTCTGTCTCTGTGCTTTTCAGTTATGATCAGGTCTGTCTCATCTCACCAAGAACAGTGGTTCTATACTGGTGTCCCACTCCAGTCAGTGTGGATGGCACCACTTGGCCTCATGGACGGCTCGGAATTTAAGGAGGCACAGGTCTCAACATGCCATTCCCACTCAGGTGTTAACGTTAGTCAAAAATGCTGGGGTTTAAGAAACCAAATCACCAAATCTACTGAGGCCGACACCTCCACTATGTAAGACTCAAGGACCGGAGATGCGGAAAGAGTCAAGAGAAATTAAAAACACAGGGGTACCCAAAAACTGCAGCATTAACTTCAACTTTAAAGACTGGATTTATTGGAGAAAAACAAAAAACCCTCGACCCAAAGGATGGGATTTTACATCTCAAGACATCTCCCAAGTAATAATGTCTACAGATTACAAATCATTTTCATAGAAGATATTTTTGTACAAATTTTACATGTATTCAGGAGCGGGACATAAGTCAACCCCTGTTATATTTTAACAGGAGTGGAGAGTGGGACAGAACAGCTTTCTTCTGGATGCAACTACCTGGAAGGGAAATAGACATGAAGAGGGCAAACTACCTTTTCATTGTCCACAACCAACTGTTTAAAGAACCCATTCAGCGGTGGGTCTTTCACTAAAGCCCACTTCCCAGCTACTAGCCAATCAAGTGAGCTGCTATGCCCACTGCTGCAGCACACTGAACCAAAGCTCCCGCACAGCAGGCCTAGGGCTTGCTCATCAGGACCAAGTTCTCATTTGTCTGCAGGTATCCTGACATCCTACAACAGGGAAGCTTGGCCTCTTTGGAGCTGATCCTTACATCAAGGCTCAGATCAAAGCAGACATCAAGCTACTGTGTTGCAAGAGAAGCAAGAACCTATTCAATACTTCTTTGCATTATCCTTTATTCTTGAGGGAAGTCAGGAAACCAACCCTTATAAACAGAAAGCCACAGTTTAGGTCACATTAGAAACCCAAGCACCAGTATGGGGTTCCAGTGAAGGAAATGTATAGAAACCTCACAGCCCAGCAAGGCTGAAGACCTTTAACTCAACTCTTCCCATGTCACCAAGTCCATCAACTGAAACACTCTGACAGCAGCAGGAGCAGGCAGGCGGCAGGGACCGGAATCAGACAGCATAGAGCTGGTTTGTTTCAGAAAAGCAGGGATTCCTCAGGCCACAGCTCCCGGTGGCCAATAAAATAAATGCCTGTAGGAACAGGTACAGACTTACAGACTAAAGTCTTTGGAAGGCTAAGTGTCATCAAGAACATGAGATGACCAGTGATAAGGTTTTAATAATGTAGATATATTTGAACCTCTAGAAAGGACAGATCTTAGAAGACTGGAATTTCCCATAACCGCTAAGTGCTTCCTCATCCAGGAATCCATTCTATTCATGCGTCTATTGGAAGTCACACCATTTCCCACACTACCTGGTATAAAATAATTGATCACTCCAAAGCTTTTCAAACCACGATTGAGCTTCCCATTTATTTTGGTCCCCAAGCAATACTACTTGTTAGTGGCCTGTAGACTCATTCCCAACTACCCCCTTGGGGGGTAAACAAACAAAAAACAATTCCGTCTAGGCTGGCCCCAGTTAAGTCAGAGATAAAGCAGAAGGGCTGGCAGCCTCCTGGAGACTAAAATACCTGGAGACTGAATCCACTTTTCCAAGGGTGGGAAATTTATTCACATGTCTGGGGAATTCATAGGTGCCATCACAGGGTATGAATTAAAAGGTAGAAATCTCACTCTTCCTTGTGCCTTTCTCTACTGCTTAACTTATGCGACTGAGTCTGTCACTACAGTCTCGCTGAATGGAGCCCCAGGTAGCCGCTTGGTATCCTCAGAACACATTACAACCTCCCCATTCAAAAGCAGGAGCCACATCTCTCGGGCTACGATGGTGATTGATTCTCCAGTTACTTCAATACTTTAAAAGGCTGCAGCAGCATGCAAAACAATTTCATTTCATTAAAAAAAGTTAAGAAAGGTCTCCAGGAGATGGTGAGTTTTATTTTTTTCTTGTCTGGATAGAGGTTTGATTTGCCCTTGAGTGTTCCGGGGTGGAGACTAGAAGAAAGCACAGCGTGTGGAGGTCTACTCAGTGTGGTCTTCTCCCTCAGTCTCATCGTCACCATCCACAGAGAGAGCAGCATACTTGCTTGCAGAGCTGAACTTCTGTAACAGATGAGAGGGACAAGGTAACGGGAGCCTGAGATTCTTCTACCAAATGTTGGAAGCAGAATATCAATGCTTTGGCACGGCTGAGACCCTCTAGGAGGACCATGTCCCACTGCAGCAGTGAGGGAGGGCCAGGGTCCCAAGGGAACTCCCCAGCCACACACATACCAAGAGGATGAGAACTCAGAAATGTTGACTCATCAACAAAAAGCTTTTTTTCACTAATTTGCCTCATTTCCAACTCCTCCAGTCTCAAGAAAAAAGGAGTCTGGTGCAGACCTAAGCTGAGAAGTGGATGCAAGCACACGACACTTACAGAGGCCGGGCTCTCCTCAGGTTTCTTTGGCTCAGGTGCAGATCTCGAGTCTTTATCGTTTTTGCCTTCTTTCCTGCAGAGACATGAGCACAGACCAACAACGTCACTGGAACAAGTGCAGAAATTTTAGATACCCCAACTGTAACCGTAATTTTAGTTTGTTCAGTGGTAGACATGGTAACACTTGGGAAAGCCAAGAATTTCTTCAAAGCCCCCTCCATCTAAAATCAAAAGACTCCAAATGAGAAGAGAAAATATACATACCTATCCAACTCCTTCCAGTGGTCTTTGCTCCCTCCGTCTCCAGGACCGCGACTGGAGCTCCCAGTTTGGCCTCTTAAGACACTCACCCCATCTACTTTGTTTTCATCTATTTAAGCAGAAATACAAACCCAAGTTCAAATGATATAAAGTGACCTATCTTCCTGTCCTAGCTTTCCTCTAAGGCAAAGAAAACATGTACTAAAGGAAATTAACCCCACTCCAAACCAGGCTGCCCAGACCTTTCTTCCTAAGTCCCCGCACACAAACCAAACAAGACCCATTAAAAAGTCCCAGTGTAGTGAATGCCAACTAGAAAAGCAAGAACCAGAAGCCACATGGTGATGGCCTTTAATCCTAGGAGTGAGCTCAAGGACAGGCTCCAAAGCTACAGAGAAACTGAAAAACTACTGCAGCATTTACTTAAAAACAAAACAAAACAACAAAAAAACCCCCACACTTGGCGGTGGTGGCTCATGCCTTTAATACCAGCACTTGGGAGGCAGAGGCAAGTAGAGCTCTGTGAGCTCGAGGCCAGCCTGGTCTACAAAGGGACAACCAAGGCTACATAGAGGAAACCCTGTCTTGAAAAACAAGGTGCTTAACTCTGGAAATTTTTAAAGTATTGCCTGTATGTATGTGCACCACCAATATCTGGTGCTAGTGGACATCAAATGCCCCAGAAGAAATCGGAGATGCGAATGGTTGAGTCACTATCCGGGTGCTGGAAACTGAACTTGTAACTCCTGGATGTGTTTGTATTCAGGCTTTAACCAGATCAAAACCTACTTCCTTGGTGTGAGCTTACCTTTCCTTGATGGTCCGTCCTCAGAGGAATGAGCTGGAGCTACTTTCCCTCCACCACTAAAAGGAAACAAAAAAGCAACCATCAGTTTTTAAGGGAAGACAACACAAGCCTATAACATTTTCTGAACGTAGTGGGTGGCCTTTCCAGAAATACACAAGAGCCTACGTGTTTAACACTGTAATATTAGTATAGGAGAGACAATGAAAACAGTCATTTCCACTCAAGTGCCATATGCTTTGGAATTTACATCTCAGCAACGTTAGCAGTAGTCTTTGCAAAAACTGAGAAAATTTAAGAGAATTTTAAGACAAGACCCTCCAAGGTTGCATTAACACCATGTCTCAGGGCAAAGCCCAACATATCGATCTATTTCTGAGGAATAAATACTCCCATTATAGCTGATTTCAACCCATCGAAATGATGCCAACTGGCTAACAAAAATTCAAGAAAACAGACACTGTCATGAGACACCGAGTATGAATTATACAGGAGGCAACCTCATCTGCAATACTACAAAGCCAGCCCCCCTCAGGGCACCTCCAGCTAAGCAGCTGCTGTTGCAGGCCTACTCACCTTGTAGGGGACTGCTGCTCTGTGTCTGAGCTCTGAGATCGAGCAGGAGGGTTAGAGCTTCGCTTCACCCACGCATTCTCCTTTGGTGGAGGGGCTGGCATTACCTTTAGAGGCTGATCGGGTTTAGGAGGTTTGGAGGTTGGAGAGTGACAGTCTTCTTCTTTACTGAGGGTTTCATTTTCTAGAGACTTCTCACTCTCTCTCCTTCGTGTATCTGGGGAAGGGTAGAGACTGTCTATACACTGTACAGCACTCACAGACTGCAACAGCATGGACAGCGTCACCCGGTGAGTCCTCCCGTCAGCAGGGACTGATTTGGCTAATAGTTTTTAATTACACAAAAACCAGGTTTCCAAGTCATCTGGAGGAAAATGCCTTAAGGATACAGAAAAGGGAAAAAAAATCTATCTGTGTAAAAGAGATAATTGCCGCCGGGGCGATGGTGGCGCACGCCTTTAATCCCAGCACTTGGGAGGCAGAGGCAGGCGGATCTCTGTGAGTTCAAGACCAGCCTGGTCTACAGAGCTAGTTCCAGGACAGGCTCCAAAGCTACAGAGAAACCCTGTCTCGAAAAACCAAACCAAACCAAACCAAAAAAAAAAAAAAAAAAAAGAGAGAGAGAGATAATTGCCTTTACACAGGGTAAAAACTAGGTACACTTGTATTTGCATAAAAAGTTTTCTGGAACCGTGGAGGCAAATTTGCTAGGTGCCTCCTACATTTGAAGTACAAATGCTACCAAAGTGGCTACACAAACCAACACCACACTTAACCTAGCCACAAGGATCACTACATTATGTTACTGGGCTACTCCAAACAGGAAACATTTCCAGAAAACTGTTACAACACTTGGCTCAATGTACAAATCACTTTGGCCTTGAGCTCTTTTAAAATACTCAAGTACTTGGGCACAGGAGAGCTCAGGCATGAGCGCGTCACAGTATGTGAAGGCTGCTGTCATGAACACTAGCTGCACGTGAGTGAACAGTCTGAGGAAGAATCAATCCAGGACACTGCTGTGAGGTTGCCTACAACATTCAATAATGTCACCCCTAAGAAGAGCTTATGAAGGTCAGTGCTACCGTGGCTCTGAATAACACTCATGGTAGAGAATCAGACTTCTGTAGGTTTTCCTCTGGCTTCAAGGCATGACATGAATCTCTACGCCCCCAACATAATACACTTTAAAGACAGAGAACAGATCATTTAAGTCTATTTGGTGCCTGTTCCCTCAGGCTTTTTGAAGTGAGATGTGAAAATCCATCAGCCCCTGCTGACCACCATAACTGGTTCAAGGCCAGTCTGGTCTACCCAACAAGTTTCAGGATACCCAAGGCTACAAAGAGACCTTATCTGAAGACCTAACCTACAAACACTGCAAAGTCCCTCCACACTATGGTTATGGAAACAGCAATACTGATACCCACCCTGGCCTGACTTACTTCTACCAGATGTGGCTGAGGCCCCAGTCTGCGATGACTCACTTCCTGTCCTTGACCGTTCCCTTTCCTGAGTTTCTTCACTTCGCCAACTTGGGTGTCTGCACACAAGAGATTAAAAAACAGAGAAAAATGGTGTTCAGTTCACTTAAGGCCACATGAACCTAACACAAACTGTTAATAGAAATTAACAGCTATAAGCTGGGTGGTATTGGCGCACACCTTTAATCTCAGCACTGGGGATACACAGGCAGGCAGATCTCTGTGAGTTTGAGTCCAGCCTGGTCTACAAAGAAAGTTCTAGGATAGTAGAGGCACACCGAGCTACTAGAGACCTTGTCTCAAACAAAGAAACAAATCACACACACACACAAAACATTTTTGAACAATTCTTATTATGAAACAAACAGGTAACACAATAAGCACACAAAAAGAAAGGCAAATAACAAATAAATGTAGTTGGCTGAGGAGGACCATGCTGGCAACTGCCAACACCTGAGCAGCAGGGGCAGGAGCATATGACCTGTCTGTACTCAAGAGTGATCTCTGGAGTTGCCTGTGAGACTGTTCCAAAAACCAAGTGTAGCTGGGTAGTGGTGGTGTACATCTTTAATCCCAGCACTTGGGAGGGAGAGGCAGGTGGATCTCGGGTGAGTTCCAGGACAGTCAAGCGCTGTTACAGGGAGAAACCCTGTCGCGAGAAACCAACCAACCACCCAAAAAGAAACCAAAAACAACAAAAACATCAAAATAAACAACCTGGGGCTGGAGAGATGGCTCAGTGGGTAAGAGCACTGTCTGCTCTTCCAGAGGTCCTGAGTTCAATTCCCAGCAACCACATGGTGGCTCACAACCATCTGTAAAGAGATCTGGCGCCCTCCTCTGGCGTGTGCGTATGAATGGAGGCAGAAAGTTGTATACATAATAAATAAATCTTAAAAAAAAAAAAAAAAACCTAACCCAACCAAACCTGAAACAAAACAAAACAAACCCAACGGCTTTGTGTTGCTGTTTTTTGTAGACAAGGAAGCTCATGGCAATTCACTTGCCCTAGCTTGAGTCCTGAGTGCTAAAATTATAGGCATGAGTTACCATGATCTTCCATTTTCTGGTTTCTACTTATTACACTCTAGTGGGGTTTTGACACTGACACCCTTCCTAAAAGAAATTTGTCTTTTTGTTTTTTGGAAAAAAAAAAAAATCACACAGACCAGGTTGGTCTTGAGAGAATCAGCTTGCCTGTCTTTCAAAGGAGCACACCACCACTTAGCTGGTAATCTTTGTAAAGAATTATGAAGGGCTGATGAGAGGACTTGGTGGGTCAGGGCAAGTCTGCCAAGTCTGAGGGTCTGATTTTGTATCTCAGGATCCCAATAAGTGCCCCCTGATCTCTGTATTTGCACCCCCACAAATATAACAATAATAATAAAGAACTGAATAACTATTTGGATAAATCTGTTTTTACAAAAAACAGGCATGATTTACTTCTGCACCAAAGTGCCACCAATTTCTGTTTATGGCAAGTGTAGCACAGGTCTTTCTAAAAACTTCAAGGTATAGGAAGTCTTTAGTGTGATACCGTAGTCTATCATAGTCTGTAGACTGCTTTACTGCCCAATAAACTCTTCTCAGTGACATCAGCAATTCCTCCCATTCCTCAAATGCGCCCACTCTCCACCAGGGAGGAAACTCCAAATCGGAGACAGCCTTACCTCTCCCGCGGCCGGCGGTCTAGTTTTGGCTCATCCAGCTGCCGCTGCAACTTCTCCTGCTCCTTCTGCAGCCGCTCTTCTACTTCTCTTTCTCTAGCAGCTGTGTCAACAGGTTTTGCCCCTCCAAATATAGAAGCTGCTCGGCTGGACTGGGAGGTGCTAGCAGAGGAATCATCTTCCTTAGGAGTACTCCGAGGCTTTAGATTCAGTTTGGGTCTTTGGGGGGGACCTAAGTTAAATGAAACTCTAAGTAACAGTTTCCAGATAATCAGAAAGTGAATGCTCAAAGTCAGACACCAGACAACACTGCCCTAATGATCTTTTCAAAGATCTTGTCTAGAAGATGAGCATCTTCAACAGGTTAAAAACAAGTATGACAAGCCGGGCGATGGTGGCACACACCTTTAATCCCAGCACTCGGGAGGCAGAGGCAGGCGGATCTCTGAGTTCGAGACCAGCCTGGTCTACAGAGCTAGTTCCAAGACAGGAACCAAAGCCACAGAGAAACCCTGTCTCAAAAACAAAACAAAACAAACAAACAAACAAACAAAAAAGTATGACATGGAAGATTTCAGAGGGAGTGGTTATGTTCATGCACATGCGTGGTGAGAACATCAATGTGAAGGCCAGAGAGCTCCAGGATCTACTTGTACCACCCATTATAGATGAAGGTGAACATACACTGTTCACCATTTCGAAATGGTATGTGCTGGAGATCTAACTCAGGCATTTTACAGATAAGCTATTTCTAAGCCAAGGAGACTATTTAGTTCTTACAATTTTATATGAAATTCTAAAAAGTCCAATTTCTTAATCTTTCCATGTTATCAAACACCTTTCAGGATAAACCTAAAACTGGTTACAGCCTCAGTCCAGAAAACTAAGAAAGGTATAGTGGCTAGAGGGAGCCTGTGAGTGCAACCCCGGGGTTAACAAACACTGCATGCCACCTCAGAACACAGCTTACATCTGGTCTTTATCATTACATTGTACCTTATTACAGGTGCAGAACTAGCGTACACTTAGCTTTTGTGCGTGCGTTTGTTCATGTTCCTTTTCTGTGTGCATAGAAGCCAGAGGTCGATCTTAGGACACTCATTTCTTAAGCATTGTTCACTTTCTTTTCTGAGCATGGTCTCTGATAGACCCAGAGCTCGCTGATTAAGGTAGAATGACCATCCAATGAGCTCTAGGAATTTGCCTGGCTTTTCTTTTTAAAATGTAATCTATGTGTTTTGCCTGCATGTGTATGTACACATTTGTGCCTGGTACCTTTGGAGGCCACAAAAATGCAACAGATTCCCAAGAACTGGAGTTTTGGTAGTTGTGAGTGCAGAGAACTGTACCTAGGCCCTCTACAAAAACACTGCTCAGCCAGCTCTTCTAGCCTTTGCCCTGCTTTCTATGTGGTGTTGGGAAAGAATTCAGTTCCTCTTGCCCTTTTTTTTAGTATATTTTTAAAAATTTATTTATTTATCACATATACAACATTCTGCCTCCATGTATGCCCGCACGCCAGAGGAGGGCGCCAGATCTCAGTACAGATGGTTGTGAGCCACCATGTGGTAACTGGGAATTGAACTCAGGACCTCTGGAAGAGCAGCCAGTGCTCTTAACCTGAGCCATCTCTCCAGTCCCCTCTTGCTTTTATAGCAACATTGTCCCAAACTTGTCAAGGAGTAATTATCTTTACATTCAAGATAAAAACAGGTCCAGAAAATATACAGCCAATATTAGGCAAATGTCTCCACTGCTCCTCTCATTATAGCACTTCCTTTTAAAATTTCCATATAGTGACAAACTCAATCAGCTCATTGAACACATATATGTTTAGATATCATGCAAAAAGCGACAAGGATAATCCACTGTCTCTGCATAAAAGAAGCCAAATTGGTAGGACAATCATTTAAAAAGCTGCATGTTAAGTTTTACAAAAATAAGTTCTTAGTAAAGATATGGCAGGTTTCTGAAGAAGCTCAGTAGTTAAAGATGCTTACTGCTAAGCTTGACAACCTGAGTTTGATTTCTTGGAAATTCATGGTACAGACTGGACTCCCACAAATTGTCTTCAACCTCCATGCATGTAAGCACACAAGTGAGTGAGTGTGTGTATGATATAAATATAGAAAGCTAAGAGCCAGCCATTGCTGGCCTAAAATGCACAGTGTTGGGATTGAATGTATGTGATACCAGTAGTATCAATTTTTAAAAGATACCATACTTACTTTGTTCAGTAATAGTCAAGGGATCATGAAGACTGAGCATGCGTGTATCCAAGAGGACAGATGTGGAGGTAACAAGGCAACGAAGAGACCAAGTTAAAGAAAATCAGGAGTCAAAGACCCGAGTCTACACTTTATTCACTCACAAATTAGATTTACTTCTCTTTCTCAAATGTGGCTTAAAGACCAAAACATTCAGAACCATTACAAGATGTTAAAAGGTTATAGAACAAACAATTTACTTCCAGGCCAGATAAAATAGCCATCAGATGGCATCACCACATTTAAGAACATAAGTAGTTGTTATTCATTAATAACATTTGTTAGAGCTGAGTGTGACAGTGCTTTGTTTCAGCAATCAAGGGCATAATTTTTAGAATAAGCACACAAAAATCTCACCAATGATAAAAATCAGTGATATTTGTTTCCAACATTATCATACCAATTACTGACTGGGACTTTCATTTTCTTCACTTGAAAGATAGAATGTTTCCTTTTCTACATTTTCTATAAAGATTTTTGCTTTTTTAAAGAAGATGGATTTCTCTGTGTAGTTCTGGCTGGCCTTCAACTCACGGAGATCCACCTGCCTCTGCCTCCTCAGTGCTAGGAATTAAAGCTGTGCGCCACCAGCATCCAGCTGTTTTTTTTAAAATTTTAACTGAAGAATCTATGTGAAGGCATTGAAGATTCTGTTCATCTTCACTTTCACTATCTGTCTACTGTGCTCCGCTACCCCCTTTACAACAGACAAACTTTGTTTCAAAGCTCCGAGGAAGACAAACATTTTACAGCTGCATTTTCCCAGCTCTCTGCTTGACTTTGAAAGGCTAAGAAAGTGAGTACCTCTGTCATCACGCCTATAATCGTCCCGAGAGTAATCATCCCTGGAGCTCCATGACCGGTCATCCCTTCTGTCGTATCGGTCTTCATAGCGATCTCCACCTCCTCTGTAGTCATCATCCCTACGGTACCCACTGCCAAATGCTCTTCTGCCACTGCCTATCCTGGAGTCATAGCCTATAAACAGATCTCAAATTGTGGTTACACAGAAGGAAAAAAACAAAACAAAAAACCAAAAAAAATTGTTGAAAAGAAGTGCTTTCACTGAGTATGTCACTGTGACTACCTCGGTCATAGTCTCTGCTGCCTCGGTCGTCATAGCGATCCCGGCCCCCATAGCGATCCATATCTCGACGTGGGCCGTCCCGATACCCATCCCGGTATCCATCCCGATACCGGTCTGAATCGTAACGATCTCGATACTCTAGAAAGAAAAGAATATAGGTAACACCACTCTCCCAGTTTATGGAATGCAGAACTCACTTGATCAACTTGGTTTAACTAGTTCTATTCACTATGACTCACCTTTTTTTTTTTGGTTTTTCGAGACAGGGTTTCTCTGTGGCTTTGGAGCCTGTCCTGGCACTAGCTCTGTAGACCAGGCTGGTCTCGAACTCACAGAGATCCACCTGCCTCTGCCTCC